CTACTACTGCTCCTACTACCACTACTTCTACTTCTGCTACTACTACTACTACTACTACTACTGCTACGACTACTACTACTACTACTACTACTACTACTTATATTACTTCTACTACTACTACTACTACTACTACTACTACTACGATTACTATACTCCTACTACTACTACTACTACTACTACTACCACTACTTCTACTGCTACTACTACTTCTACTTCTACTTCTACTACTACTACTACTACTAGTACTACTACTACTACTACTACTACTACTACCACGACGGCTTTTACTACTACTACTACTACTACTACTATTACTACTACTACTACTACTACTACTACTACTACGCTTACTACTCCTACTACTATTACTACTACTACTACTACTACTACTACTACCACTACTTCTACTGCTATTACTACTTCTACTTCTACTTCTACTACTACTACTACTACTACTACTACGACGGCTACTACTACTACTACGGCTACTACTAATACTACCACCACCACCACGACTACTACCACCACCACCACCACCACCACTACTACTACTACTCCTACTGCTACCGCGACTGCTACTGCGACTGCTACTGCTACTTCCTCCGTCGCACGAAAGCTCTGGAGTAGGTCTTTACGGCTTCATAAGGGGGTTGCCTAGGGAGGATCCCTATCTGTTCTTTACCATGAGACACATTGCGGAGAGGAGAGGATTCAGCCGAACACCGTGACCTACAGCTGCGTCGTCAAGGCCTGTGGCCGTGCCTCCTGATTGCAGTCGGTTTGTTCATCCGTCGTCATGAAACCGCTATGGCCCGGCGTCGTGCCCCACTCACACAACCCCATCTGAAGACCAACGATATCGGCTGCTTCATCCTGTGGTTCCATGTTCTGGGAGATTCGAGCTTTCTTCCAGGCGAAAAGGGAAAGGCGAAGTCGCGACTGGAACTTCTGTTCAGTACCCATTCGTGTGACTACAGACGGGTAGGGACTTCCAAAGCTAGTGGGAACAGCTCCCGAGCAGAAGTCTTGATTGTGACATCTTAGGCGCAGGAGCTTGACCGAGCTTTTATGTTCCTGCGCTGCTGGGCCTTCTACATGGGAAGAATAATACCACTTCAGGATCGGAACAGCATAGGCAGAATAGGAAATGCTTCATAGAAAAGTTACCACAAACCCTAGCCCCGGTTTCCAAAGCCTAAGTCCGAGCCCGAAACCCTACGGTTTCTAGACGCGGCATGCGGAAATTGACAGTGATAAGATTTGGTCGGGTTTCGGCCAGCTACTTGTTCGACAACTGCTGCATTGCTGGAGCCTACGGCCCAGAGTTCGGGATTTTGGGTTAGGTGTTTCTTCAAAGTGCTGCAAGTCTCAATGACAACATCGCTGATCAGCAGGCGCTGTTTGTCTGCAGTAAACCTGCTGCCGCTGCCGTGCTGCTGGATAGCTGTGCCACAACAAAAGCAGGAACGGCAGCACCAACAGCAGCGACGACGACGCGGCAGTCTCAGTCACAACCGAATCAGAAAACACAGGGTCAAGAGGCACAAGGAAGCACAAAGAGCGGGCACCGGCCGCAAATAATACCTATCACAGGCACCAGCACGCGGCTAGCGTGAAAACACTTTTTGTGTTCAACATCCTTTCCATTGCAAACGAGAGAAGCAATCCAAGCAGCAACAAAAACAACGACAAAAGCAACAACACACATGGCAATGACAAGGGCATCAACGATAAGAGTATAACCAAATGGGGGCCTTAATTGGCCACGACGGTGTGTATATATATATATAACCGAATGGATGTAAGGAAGAGTGACTGCGGCCAGCCGTCCAACCACAGCACAGCTCCTCAAATGCCAACATCCTCGGCTGCAGCGCTGAAAAACCCATTCTTGCCACGGGGTTTAGGGTTTAGGGTTTTGATTCTGTGCCCGCCGCCTCGCGTCCATAAGCCCGAAAGACAAGCCCCAAGCCCAATGTCTCTCCGATTCGGCCGAGGAGACATGCAGGAGCAGCGGATAGCCCAAAACATTATGCGCCTTGGCAGAGTCATACACAACGCACTTCTAATGTCGGGAAGTGACTTCACAGCACCCAAACTGAACCTGTACTATAGAAGACGGAATAACTAGTACATAATACCAATCCTTGGGGCTCCTTAGTGACTATTCTTGAACGTATGCCCCAGAACTATTGACATGATTCATGCCCCCTTTTTATGAACCTATTTTCTTTTCAAAGCCGAGAGGCTGCCATGGCAGGGGCTGTTGTTTTGTGGTGTGTTGTTAAGTCGTCGTCGTCGTGTTTGTCATCCCTACGCCTGAAACCGTAAAAAGACCCTAGGACCCTAAACCCACGGTCCCAAAGCTCTGAGCCCTAAAGCCGCAAACTCTAAACCTTAGAGCCCAAATGCTCAAAGCCGCGAGTTCCAATTTTCCTTAACTAAGGAATATACCCTTTAATCTTTTCAGTGTTCCCATTATAATTTCAGGTATATTCCTTAATTAAGGGATAATGGAGTCTCTGAGATCTCAGGACCTGGGCCCCGGTGATTGAAGCGGTCTGCAAGCACCGGGATGACGCGGCAGTCCAGGACCGTGGGCTGCAACGGAAAGAGAGTGGCTGAGTACGTAACCTTTAACCTTTTGGGGCTTATAATATACACTTATTATAATTCAAAAGGTTAACCTTTTTTGGGCTAAGGTACTCGGCCCCTAAGTGTGGCTTTTAGCTCGCAACAGCCATCCATCGCGACGGCTTTAGCGTCTAGGTCTAGGGTGTATGAACCTGATACCTGGCAAGCCCCCGACAACTCCGAAAGCCTGCAAGCCTACAGCCCGAACTAAACCCTTAACTGCAGGGTTTTCAAGCCCCAGAAGCGAGAACCCTACTTGGATGCTTAAAGTCATGACTGCACTGCTAAGCCCATGAAATTCCTAGGTAAGAACCATTGACATTGGGGTTCTCAGCAACCTGCACCCTCCAAGCAAAGCCCCAATCCCTACACCCGAAGACCTGGAACCACGGATGCCTCGCCTGGAGTGCCCGAAAGTGAGCGCCGCAACCCGAAGTCTCTGATCCCCCAAGCTCGGCTTAGGGTTTCGGGGTTGGAGTTTGAACAGGACGGTTTGCAAAGAATGCTCCGGGCCGGCGTGGCGCCGCAGGGTCGGGCCCAGCAGCAGCTGGAGGACCCCCTCTCCGTCGGACCGAGCAGTGAGAGCGGAGAGCGGTGTAGGGTTCTACCGAGGAGACCGGGTCATGGCTTTACACACCAACAAAGAAACCGCGCCTTCGCAAAAGAGGCTCCTTGATTGTTGTCGTACTCCGCGGACCACCCGCAGGCAGCAACGATTTTTGGCACGCCTCGCCGTTATCGACAAGACACAACAAGCCCGGATCTGAAGTCTTTGAGCCTTCAGCGCTACACCCGCCACCACCAAAAACCTTTGCAAATCCTTGCAGCTTTAAAGCGCACTTGCTGAATCTCTTAAATGAGACAGCCTTTGAATTTCTCTTGGTTCAAGAAGGAACGTATCTACGAACACATGTCAGATAATTTGACTTCCTATGAACCGCCGAGACCACAGCCCAAAAGAGCAGAGGCCTGAGCTGCAAAGCTACGAAATATAGAAGCCCGAAGGACTAATAGTGCTATTCCTGCATCAACGGCCCAAAAAAACCCTCCTAGTTGTTACGGCCCCTACTGAAAAAAACCTTCAACCATCAACTATACCCTCAAAAACCCCGTTTTTCAGCCTCAGCCGCAAACCTCTGAGCGCAAACCTCTAGACCTTACATGGTGTTGGGGTATGTTACACCAGAACCACAGCTGTATAGGAACATGAGCACTAGTTTTCGAAAACCCTGCATTCAATCCTGTCAGAACCCTATAATCTCCAAACCCGAAACCTTTCTCTGATAAACCCTGGATTTCGGGGGTTGGGAATTGCGGGCCTAAAAGGCCCAAAAGACCCCCAAATTTTCCGAAACCCCCCGGGGGCCCGAAAGGAGCGCCTGGGCCCTTTGAACCTCGCCCTGGCGTGCGCCGAGTACGGCTGCTTACCCTTGAAGCGTCCCTTGAGGGCTTCGGGACTTTGGGTTGAGGGTCTGGGGTTGAGGGTTTAGGAGCTTAGGGTTGAGGGTTTGGGGTTTCTGGACCTTGGGGCTGAATTTAGGTGCTTTTGACGGTTCGCCAGAGTCTGATTAGGCTTTAGGGTTTCTAGATTATGGGGGTTTATGCAAGTTTTGGGCCTTGATCTTGAAGGGCATACTTGGGTCTGTTTTGCTGTTTTGTAGAGGAACATCCCGTGAATTGTGATGGACGCTTCTTTGTAATGAAGTTTTGGGATCTTTCAATGTCCAGGTAAAAGTGGAGTGTAAAACAAGTCTATAGAATCTAAACCCGAAAGAAGCTGTCAGGGCAGCATGAGCACGAGTCTGCCAAGGCCTCCAAAAGAAAGGCCGCGCGGTCGACATCAGCGCGTTCGCTCGGCAGCCGCTGTTTCGCAGTTTGAGTTTTATCGTGATGCTTAGAGGTCTTATAGACTTTATACAGTTTGTCGGTTTTTGGTGTTTGCAGGCCTCACATGGTCTTCACAAGGTTCTCAAAATTTGCATGATTCGTGGTTGAAAGCAGGGGTTCTGCAAACGAGGGGTCCTAGTGAGGGCACTGATAGTAAAGATCTTACAGTCTGGAGTCTATGACTGGGTCCCGTGTTTTCTATGCTGCAGGCTCTCAGGAGGCACTGCTGCTGATGACAAAATACACACTGTACTCCAATGAATGGGTGCTTCTTTAGCAGGCAGCACAGATCCGACGTGAGCGAGCGCCTACAAGCTAACGCTGCGCCTTCGCCGTCTGAGTATGGTGTGGTTACGTCTGTGTTTCTCGTAGGCGTCGGAGTAATTAGTGATGCAGATAATGTTTGAAAAGTGGCTTTGCAAAACCCCAGGCCCCGGAGCAACCTGCTCTCCAGAAGAGATACTTCCTTCTGGCCTGTTTATAGTATGTGTACACTCTACTTGGACACTGAAACGTTTCTGGAGTTCAATTGTTGCACCTCAGGAACCGCAATGCCGAAGCAACAGTGGGAGCCACCTGGCACGCAGAGTAAGGTTCATGCGAAAGGCAGCAGCATCAACCGACCTACCTTATCCTGCCTAGTCCCCATGCCAAGCATCAGCTCCCAACAAGATTGCAGGGTTTCGTGGCGCAGGGCGCTGAAGCATCCTGCCCCTGCCGGTTGCAGTCGCAAAGTCTTGAGATCAGCACCTGCACCCACCCTAAACCCGAAACCGAAAGCCCTAAAGACTTCTTCTTCAACCTGAAATCAGACCCTTTAGCCAGAGTTCTGGTGTTCCTTGCCGGTCTATGTGCGGCATCTCCCTGGCTTTCGTTGCTGTAAGGAGGTGTCCCATGCTATGGGCCCTCAAAATCGACCGAAACAACCGTAAAGCCTTCCGACCGACATGCACCGAGCACACCAAAGGACACCAAGCAGCTGCAACGACGGCAAGCGACTTGGCAATGTTGTTGGCCGATTTGCAGATACCACAACCCTGCTCCTGAAACAAAAGCTGCTGTCATCGCGTTGGGGGGGAGGGCGGGTTCTCCAGACTTGCACCACACGAAAACACACACACACACACACGCGCGCACATTATTACACACATACATCCATGCATGCATGCATACATACATACTTACATACATACATACAGACAGACAGACAGACAGACAGACATACATGCACACNNGCACACACACATATACATACATGCATCACCTTTTCCTTTCCTCATTAATAAAATCCATACCTAATATGTGTATAACACCATGTGTATGCGTACACGTATAAACACATATTTGTGTGCTTATACTCATATGTATACACATATGTGTGTACACATGCATACACAGATAGATATATATATATATATNNGTATGTATGTATGTATGTACGTAAGCTTAGATATGTGCATGTAAACATGCATTCATCCATGCATTCATCCATGTGTTCAAAGGTTCCAAAATTCCTGGATGCATCTACTCATCTATTCATATATTCATATACGTAGTTTATATACACATGGGGTGTGTGTATATATATATACATANNACTGAACATGACCCCGAGTTTTGGGAACATGCTCCCCCGCGTGCCCTGGAAAGCCACGACAAAGGTAGATAACTGAGGGGGGGGGGGTAGCATATATATATATGTATATGTATGGTCAACCCCCCCCCCCCCCAAGATCCACACCGTCTCTGTTCCGATCTCTCACACCAAACCAGACGTCTCGGACCTACCTCTCCATGTGCAGAAAGTGCTGTAAATTCCAGTGCAAACGGCTTCTCTGTAGAACAGCTTCTTTGGTCATCACATGTTTACAAACTCTTTACGTCGAACATTTTGCACACCAGGATCTGTCCCTTTCATTTGGGTTTGGCAGAAGCAAAATTCAGGGAACTGTCCCTAAAATTTGGCTTCCCCAGGCCAAAGGTGCTGTACTGCCTTAAAAGGCTAAACACCAATCTTCCAGCAACCTTCAGGGCTTCCGAGTTGAAGGCCTCTTCTGGAGAACAGGTTCTTTTAGGTGTTTCAGGGAAAGTACGGCAATTTTGGCGTTTAAAGCCCAAATTTTAGAGACTGTACCACATGTTTTCAAGGCTTGCGGCAAGTTCAGGGATGGGAGAATCGGCCCCTACCCCACTTAGCGGGATAGGGCGAACATTCTTCCGCTCAGAAACGCATTGCCGCCACGGGCTGCTTGGTAGACCAATTCCTGCACGATCTCCCTGCATCAGCATCATGAGAATAATATATGTGAGCCCGAATAAACGAAATGAGTAAACAGCCAAGTGCCGCTTGGAAGTACATCGATCTGCACTTCCCATTCCACTGGTGCACGCGGAATGGGGCCAGGTGGAGGTTCTTGGGAGGACTTATGATCCAAAATCAGAAGAACTTGCGTTCTGGTCCATACATACAACGAAAAAACGCCTGATATGTTAGCATGGCATCTCTTCGCGGACACGATAATCGATTCCAGCACGTCTGGTGGAAACACACACATGCCAAATGCAACTTCCACATTGCATCGTAACGTACAAAACCATGTTTCTCTGTTTCTCTTGCCGCTTTCACTCTCGGACTGAGCAATGATAAGTTTTTCGATTTAGGGACTAATGTTGAAGGGTACTTTAGGTTTGAGTTTTAGGGTTTACATGAAGTGGTGGGAGGGGGGAAGTCTGACACGCCGGCACTCGGTACCTGGTCAGGGCAGGCGCGGGGGGGTTTAAGCACATACATACATACATACACACATACCTATGTATATGTATATCTGTGTGCGTGTATATACATATATATGGATATATACTGTTGTGTATACTGTATGTACATATGTATATATACATGGCATTCATATATACATATATATATATAGACAGAGAGAGAGAGAGTGAGAGATGTGTGTGTGTGCGCATTTGTGTATACAAACATACCATCATTTATTTGTATGTGTGTTCATCAGTGATTTTGTCGTTGCTGACCAGCTTGGGCCGTTTCTGCTGCTGTGACCAGACTCTAAGCAGACAGTTGCTTTGCTTGGGACATTGCTTCGAGCTCGGGAATAGGGTCTGCTTTTGTTATGCTTGCACGGAAAAGCCAAACTTGCTTTGATTCAACGATGGCTCCAACTGCGCTTTATGCAGCAAATAGCCGCACGCGTGACAATACTTGTAGTAGTAGGCGTACTACTATTTCAACTACTACCACCACTAGTCACTACTACTACTACTATTGCCATTACCACCACTGCTACCACTACTACCGCGACCGACACCGCGACCACCACCACTATTCATGAGAGCTTAGACATGCGGCATTGATGGCGGGGCTGGAGCGCAAGTTAGGAGTCTATGGCCCCCAAGACAGTCAGACTTGCATCATCCCAACAAACCACGCCAAACCCGCCAATCGAGGTGCTCCAGCATTTACATCGGGCATCAATGTTTCATACTAGTTAACTAGTTCATATCACTGCCGACTACCCGAAGAGCCCCATGCTGCCCATAGCCCGTAGTTGAGGAATGTTTATATTCTGCATTTCAGAAAGAACTGGGCCATCGGGTAGGGAACCAAAGCCTGTCCAACCAAGGATGCCCCGAGCTTGTTTCGCAAGCGACGCGGGCGCATTGACCCAGGCTAGTAAAAAAAAAGAAAAAAGTCCGCGGAGAGCCCGGTAGTCGTTAATTAGGTAAGCATACACCTAAGAATCCTTGTAAAAGTAATGGCAGATTTCGACCGTCCTTGCTTTCAAGCTGATTCTGCACAATCAATCAATCGTGCCAGGAATCTCTTCCTGTGATGCCCCTATGTCCCTTATGATCGGAGCCGAACCTCGGGCTACTGTCGATCGACTTCATGCTTTATCCTTGCATTATCCCACAAAGATGGTGGCATGTATGGACCATCAGCGCACCCCCGCAACGTGCGAATAGATGTTTTCAATCTCTAAACTTACATTAAGTAGGACAATGTAGGACCGGATAGTATAAAATGCAATGTCGTAGAACCAAGCCATGCAACATCGAGACAGGTACAGCAATGTAAGGTAATGTAAAGTAATCTAAGATAATGTAAGTCAATGTAACGTCATGTATTGTAGTTTGGCAATTTATTACAAAGCGGTGCAACGCAAGACAACGCTGACCCATGTAATGGCAATGTCGATGATAGTACACTGGTAAAGTATCCGTAATGAGCCGTGATTGTACTCGCTATTGTTAATTGTGCATCACTGGGGCAGAGCTGTGCATCAAACAAAACCCTCCGCAATCCCTGAATTTCCAACGTACACAAACATAGAACCACAGTTCTGTCCAAGTGTGAGAGTCCCACATTGAGAGTCCAGACATAGCTCGCTGCGATGGAGATGGTTATGATAAGCCATGATCTACTGGTGATGATGAGGATGGTGATGTTGATGATCATGAAGACGAGGGTCATCATCATCTTGGGGCTGGCAGATGTAACTGTGATGTTGGCGATGCTGATTGGCGCTGACGATCATAATCATGATGGCGGATGTGAAGAGGTAAACGAAGCCAATGGAAGTGACACACAACCTTACACACTGACCAATAGACGCAAAATACTCGACAACACGAGCATCCCTTGCCCCCTCTTTCGGTTCAGGCCTTGAGCCCTGACGCTAAAACCCTGAACACTACGATCAGTCCTGAAGTCTCCATCAGCCCTCAGCAAACCCCATACCCCAAACTCGGCATTCTTGTGTATTGACATCCTCGCATCTCGCAGCGCCCAGGCTTGCCATGAGACGCAAGCGCGAGTGAGTGGTTTTGGGGTGTCGGGGTGAACGGCTTCGAATTTAGGGCTTGGAGACTATTTCGGTTTGACGTCTTTGCATAAAGTTGGCTGCCCACTCTGTGTGTTATAGATGTTGGATGCAATGAGTGTGCACTGGAGCGTGCCTCGCTGTTCATGGTGAAATTATCGTGCATGATTTCTGCGTGTTGTAGTTGTCGGTCACGTACATGAAGATGCCCTCAGGTTCATGTCTGTGTACATAAGTGTGTGAGTCTACATACTTCTATGTAAACTCATCTAGCTCAAGGCATTGAAATGTAATGTAATGTGTCTTGTATTTTAATGCTGTCTGTACGACACTTCGGGTTCACGTCCAGTAACTTACACATTGGCTCCATAGGTCACTTATTCCATACGTTTTCTGCATTGCTTGTGCGAAGTGAGACTGATTTCGTTTCTTTGGGATTTGATGGCAGGAATGGAGTCAGCTATTCCGGAAAAATCAAGAGTATTGCTTCCGGACTGTTCGTAGCCGTACCCTCCTCATACTCATGCAGGGTTTTGGGGCTCTTGTGCTCTTGGGTTATGGTTCAAAAAGTCGAGGATGCACGGGTGGTCGGCCGGCAATACCATATATTTTCCCGTTTGGCGCTCAGGAAGCGACGCCTGCGCAGGGTCAAAAGTATCTGTCCCTTTGAAAGATTCCGCTGCGAGATCGCGACCCATGGCGGATAGCGGAACAAGGGGTGAATATTCCGCTGCGCCTTAGCCACTGGCCTCGGCCGCCATGCCCGACCTGCCTTTTGAGAAGCTAAAACCGCTCAACAGAAAATTATTTGTAGGAATTGTAGGCAGTCCTTTAAGCACCACTAGCGGTATCAGGTCCTTGGAGTCGCAGAAAAGACATGCCTCACAGGAAAGCGACCGGAGCTATGCTTGTGCACCGTTCGAAGCTTCTTGTAGTATTATAAGGGTCGGAATGTGCCCCAGAGCCCTATTCCACTTATTGCAGTGCCTATACTAGGGTATGAATGGCTTAGGCTGTGGGTATATCGGATTACGGATAGCCGAATTCTTTTCAACATACGCAGATGCCACTGCGACTGCATGGTTTGCGCACTAAACCCGCTATGGGCTCCACCATTCTACGGCTGCGGCTGCTGGATGTTGAACGTATCTGAGAGACGCAAACTCTTTTCCCTTAAGGCCTCAACACCACACCCTGACCTCAAGCCTCTCCTCTAGACCCTGCACCCTGCTGTGCCCCGATCCCAGCTGGGAGCCTTGAGCGTATTTGAGAAAGCCAGACTTCTGGACTCAAAACACTTAAAAGCCTAAAGCCCATGACCCCTGCGTGTGCAAGCTTTCTCATCGCGCCGGTTCAAGATATTTGGCTCTTTGCAGCGCAGTTTCGTAGCCGTTTTCTGAAGAACAGGCCACTGCTGGTTCCATCTTAAACTCATTAAGCCCCAAACCTAAAACCCTAAGTTTCCCGTTTCAGGTTTTTAATGTTTTAAGGTTCACGGAGCAGGAGTTCTGCGATAGGCGTCAGGGATGATGGCTATTGCTCGAGCTTCCGAACTTGGGGTGGCGGCGAGTGATTAGCTTTGACGGGTCGTCGAGAACTAGGATTAAGACTCCAATATGCTTTGAGGGTTCAGCGTGTTGGCTTGAGGGTCCAAGATTATTCTAGATCCGACCCTAAACTCTTGTAGGATTGTGGGTGCGGGGGTCGAGATCTTGCGTGGAGGAGGAGGCGAGTAGGGTATAGGGGCTGAGGGTTTAGGGTCTTGGATGTTGAGTGCTCCTTTGTTGGCAGCTTTTGCTGAGCTTGACTTGCCCGGTGCCCTTCCCTGTGATTTCTATCGGCTTCGTCAAACGACCTTCGGCTTTTCAAGAAAGCGTAGGTTGAGCTCCATACAGGCTCCCTTCAAGGGCTGCCTGCAATCGCGAAGTACCTGATCTGCCCAACGAGGCTTTTCCATCCTCCGAAGCGTTTCCAACAGTTCTCCGGAAGGATGTGCCAAGGGTATCATAAGGTTGGCACGTTTTTGCTGAAAGATCAACAGATGTGGTAGGCTTTGAGATGGCTTGAGTATGAAGTTGCGGGGTTTAGTGGTGCAAGGCTTGGCGTAGGCTCACCGCAAACAGGAAGCTGAGGAACGATACGCAGCGGCTACACCTAAAATTTGAGGGGCGCCCTAAACCTCTATCCTCCCCATTGAATCGAAACCCGAAAGCCCTACTAACCCACAAAACACCTACAACGCCAGAAGTCTTTTTCGGCCAGTTTCCGTCGTCATGGCCATCCAATTGGCTCCGGCGGTGGTTTTGCTCCTTTTCGTGGTGAGTGGCAGCGCTTTCCGTCCCGATCGACGTCAGGCAGGAGGGTTGGTAGCGGGAGGGCTTGAGGTTGGGGCACCGGGTTGCTGGTTTTTCTGGCTTTCGAATTCAGGCTTTATAGTGTTATCGTTTGGGGTGGCCGGGGGGCTAAGGGCGGGGAGGGGGAGGGTCTGGGTGCGCCAAGAGGCTTCCAAGCGTCGGATCTGGGTACACGGCACGAGGGTTAAGTTTCTGAGAGTCGGAGGCTGTAACTGTTAGTCCGTAATACGTAGGAGTAGTAAATTAAGTAGTCCATCGGGCTGGGTCGGCTGCGTGGTTGTGGGTTTTCCCGCGGCTTTGGGTTTGGCACAGTCAGGCACGAGGTTTTGGAGTTGGCACACAGGAGTTTAGGGATTTGCAGTGATACAGTTGGGCCTGAGGGCGTAGACTGATTGGGATCAAGGATTAGGGAGTTCTGCGGTGGCATTGGCGGGCATGTATTTGGCATTTTCTGAGGACCTTTAGGGAACATTTGGGAGAGCGGGAAGAGTCCGCACGGATTTCTGAACGGATCCCTAGACCCCATAAACACTCTATGAACCTTGCATCTTGAACTTGTCATCCTACCGGAATCCTACCCTCTGAAATTGGAACTCTCAGCACTTTGCGCTGAACTCTAAGCCCTATGCCCAAGCACAAAACAACCCTAACTCACATCCGGCGGAAACTGTAGGCTTAGGATTCAGAGTTTAGGGTTTGAGCGCCCACGAACTCAAAAACTCCAGCACGGTTCGAACTCATAGGCATGCCTAGACGCAGTGGCAAGGGAAATTACCCCAAGCCATTCATCATCAATCCCGCTCCAACCTCACAACCTCCCAGTCCCAACCTCCACCCGGCCTCCCATGCCAGTATAGTACACCCCAAAACCCATTGCTGAGATCAAGACCCCCTATGCAAGTTTCCCCTTGGCCCTACATCCTCGCCCGTAGACTGGAAGACCGGTTCCCGCAAAAGGTACAAGGAACTCGCTGCGTTATGCCCTGATCCACCCGCCCTGCTCCTAACCCGAAGCGCACACGCACACTCCCCCAAAGCCCTGAACCCAAAACCCTGCTCTCTTGAAACCGGAAAAGACTTAAAACCCCAGCCCTCATACCCGAAATCCCACAGCCCTATGAGAAGCCGAAAGCCCAAAACTCTCCCACGCTAAACCCTAAACCCTAAAGCCCGGATTGAGTTCTCAAGCCAACAGTCTCTGGGAGAGGCCTGGCCCGATGACACCGCAGCACCCCAATGGGGGCAGGTCGTGGATGCTATGCAAGCCAAGAAGGCGAACAAGGCCAACAAGGCTCCAAAGGCCCCGGGGTTCATATTCTACGATAGTATTATGTCAAGCTTCTTTTTTGTTCATTCCAGTGTGGCTACTGTGTGTTATTATGTACCCTATCATAGGACATGTGATCTGGATTAGCGCTGAGGGTTTCGGGTTCAGAGATGGGAGTTAGTTCAGGATTTCAGATGTGCGGCATGATAGGCACTATGGTGGCTTACTGTCAGGCCCTGAATAAGTGGAACAGGGGTGCTGGGGGCAGTTTCTACTACCTTATATTCTGCTTACATTGTTCGCCCCTAAACCCTACAAAAGCTTGCAAAAAGGGCGACCCTTGGCGCAAAAGCCAGGCAGAGACCTCGCAGAGCAAGCCCAGCTTGAACACCCAGCTCATGCAGGCTCAAGCACCTGTGGTTACTAGTAGGGTTTAAGTTTTAGGGGGGATCTGTCTTGGTTTAGGATTTTACCCGGACAACAGGAGCGGACTGTGTTTATGTTTTCTTATCACGTTTCCTTGGAAAGGTGTTGCTGGGTGTTGAGGGGGGAGCTTGGGGCCTAAACCCAAAACCCCGAAACCCCTGTGTGTTCGTGTGTGTGCGTGCGCGTAACACGGGTGCTCACACATCCTGCCCTGTCGTGATCTCTTCTGCTTCCGGTCGGTTACTGTCCCCGTTGTCCCGCCTGCACAGTCAGTCTGATATGGAACCTTCCGAAAATTTGGGTACCTTATTTTGGGGTGCTTATAAGGATCCTACTATTTAGGGTACTATGCTAGGGTCTCCTATTTCCGGAAACCCCCTTTGCCCGCCGGTCTCTGCCGCTGGCCCCAGTAATTACCCGTATACCGTTACTCGGTTACTCTAAGGCCCTCTCCTTCCGCGTTTCCTCCCTTCTCTGACCTAACCCTACTGTGCCACTATCCCATGCCACCGCCGTGAGGCATGGCTTCATTTACGTACACGATCGCACCCACACAAACACAAACACACATACACACACACACACACACCCACCCACCCACACACACACCCGCGCGCGCGCACGCACACACACACACACACTCACACACATCTGACCGCGGATGTGAGTCCAGTGGCCAGTCGACTGTGACAGGAGCCCATTTGATTTTGACAAGCCTCTGCTCGCAACATGATTGACCATGTGTGGACACGCAAGATGAAAAGCAAAATTTGGCTTTGACTGCTACGACACTGTGATTTCGAAAGCAACTGTCCAGCAAAGTGGACATGGAAGCGGAGCGCGCCGCGAATTTCTGCAGCTGAGACTGTTGACCGTAACATGTGTGGAGACCCCCAGGTACGCAACCAGCGGAGCCGAAACCTCTGCGCCAAGCCAGGGGACACGGATATGCATGGCAGCCACCCACGACGAATGATTACATCGTAATTTGTCTGCTGGTTAGAAGATGAAGTCGCATCGCCACCAAAGACCCTGGGAGCTGCGTTGACCAGCTAGTGACCCCAGTCTCAGCCCTGGAAGCCTTTGGAAGGATTTAGGGTTTAGGGCGTTTTAGGGCGTTTTGGGGTTTACTGTTCAAGGTATCTGACATTTCCGTCTGGTGCAGGCGGAGCTCCACAACATCAACCGTGTGAGTTTTGTGCCAAGCAGGACCGGACGGGAGAGGCAATCCGGAGTCGGAGCTCACGAGACCCACAACCTTGAGGATCACGGTCGTTGATCGCTAGACTCCGCTAGAACTAGCCATGATCCCTGCAAATCAGATACCGAATCACAAAACTCTCACAAACCGTGGAAACCTCCCTAAACCCGCAATCCCCCAGACCTGTAGACTCTAGACTCTAAACACCCGAACCCCCTACAAGCCCTAACCCCCCACAACCCTGAAACCCTTACACCAGCAACCCAAAAGCATCAACCCGAGAGACTCTCCAGAAGCAACAGGCTAGGATTTTGGTGGGGCGCATGATACTCTGTTTATGTAGGAACCCTCGCCGGCTGCCGGTTTAGGGCCTTATTTCTTTAGGCTTTTAGGGTTCGGGGTCTAGGATTCAAGGCCTAGGGCTTAAGGTTCAATGTTCGGGGCTGGGTTTGGAAATGTTCAGTGGAGTTGCAGAGGCGGGTCGAGGGGATTCAATTTCTTGGGGTTTTCGGCTTGGATTCTGGAGGTTGGCAGCTATTATCTTTTGAAAGCTTGCTTCTGATCCCACAACCCGAAATCAACGCTTTTCGGAAGACTGAACCCCAAACCCTAGGCACTCAACCAAAACGAGATCCGTCGAGTTCGGATGAACTTCTCATCGGTGTGACTTGGTCAGCTGGGCGGCCTGGGACAAAAAACAAAAACTGGGTTCTTGTTAAGGGATTAATTTAAGTTACCACAATAAGGAAACCATATTTACTACAGATCCCTATTATGGTAACTTAAATAAAATCCCTTAACAAGAACCCAGAAAATGCTTCGGAGGACTGAGATCGAAGAGCTCCTGGATCAGAGTCTTCAAGCTGAAGAGCAGCGCGAAGCCACTCCGCCCGCAGAGGGTCAGAGGTTCCGGTTTAGGGTTTAGGAATTTAGGGTTTAGGGTTTAGGGATCTAGGGTTTAGGGTTTAGGGATTTCGGCTTTACGGTTCAGGGCTTAGGGTTCAGGATCTAGGTTCCATCACCCTCGTTTGCCGCACTTCCTCTACGAACAATGTTGGAAATGCATGGTAGGGCCGAGACTTACATTCGCATGCTTCAACATGGCGTCCCCGTCATGATGATATGCGGGGCAAAGTCGCAAAAAAAAATCGATGTTTCTGCGCGGGCGTGATTGCTGAAAAGACAAGTGAGCTGCAAACGACAGGGCAGGTTGGAGGATTCAGGGCAGGTTCTGCACAATGTGTTCTCTCACCCCGCAAGAAGCCCGCTGACTCAACATCTCTTTTGGTTGAACCTTGTCTTCGTACCATGGATGGGCTGGTAGCATGGACGTTATCATGGTTTGGGTATGATGCGCTGGCCAATGGATGGACTTGCAGCATGGACGTTTTTGGGCATGGATTCCCTGGCCAATGGATGGGCAGGTAGCATGGACGTTATCATGGTCTGGGCATGGATGCACTGGCCGATGGATGGGCTGGTAGCATGGACGTTATCATGGTTTGGGTATGGATGCGCTGGCCAATGGATGGGCTGGTAGCATTGACGGTAATCCTTTCCCCCATGTATGAAACACCCCCCCCTAATAATAAAAAAACACGTTGGCGCCAATTCTCCCGAAATTACCCTTGCCCTTCAAAAGCTATTCTGAATTGTGGCGGAAGGTTTCGAGGCCACAAATGACCCTCGGAACGCAGTGACCAAGAGCAGGAGCAAGAGCAAGGTAACAGCAATATGCGGGGGTAAGAGCAAGGGCAGCAAAAGCAAGAGCAACAGCAAGACCTGGAGGCGCAAGAGACGCAGCAGAAGCAGGGGCAACAGCCAGCGCGGGAGCAAGAGCCGGAGCTGGAGCAGGAGCACGATACAAATAGAAATACCCCGTAATATTCATAACACTTTCTGAGTTTCTCTTGCGGGGAGCCGTTTAATATTAGGGGGAAGGGGGTATTACCCAAACAGTGCTTGCCCAATGGGGTTCTTACGTTAAGGGTACAGGAATCGGATGCGGGCCGCAACGGCGCACGCGCTGGTGGGGCGGGGCCTTCGTTTCGACGCTCTCGCTGTGGTTTCGCGCGAATTCCGCTCCGCACCGTGCAACGCTCTCGGTGTTTTCGTCGCCTCGCGATGCTCTCGCTCTCACTGTGGTGTAGTGAGTGGGGCACACGGTGGGGGCGGCCTTTGCGCACCGTGCAACCCTCTCGGTGTTTTCGTCGCCTGGCATTGTGGTGAGCGGCACACGCGGTCGGGAGGCCTCTTCTGAGGAGCCCACTTAGGTTGCGCGGGCGGCAACGGCGCACGCTCTGGGGCGGCCTCGTTTTCCTCTTTTGGGCGGCCCACTTAAGTTGCGGGCCGCAGCGGTGCACGCGGTGGGGGGCGGCCTCTTCCATTGCACGCGGTGGTGGGGCGAGGCCTGATCATGAGGATGCTGATGGGGGTCCTTTGGCCTCTTCTGGCCCACCTCATTGTTCGGGGTCTACACCGGCATAATCATGGTTTGGGCATGGTTGCACTGGGCGTTGTCATGGTTTTATTGGGCATGGAGGCACTGGCCAATGGATGGGCAGGTAGCATGGACATCATCATGGTTTGGGCATGGATGCACTGGCCAATGGATGGGTTGGCGGCATGGACGTTATCATGGTTTGGGCATGGATGCACTGGCTTGTGGATGGGCTAGTAGCATGGACGTCATCATGGTTTGGGCATGGATGCACTGGCCAATGGATGGGTTGGTAGCATGGACGGGTTCATGGTTTGGGCCCCGTTTGGGCATGGATGGAGCCAGGATCTAGGGTTTACGTGCGAGCGAGCGAGGGGCACGGGGAACTGATCGAAAAGGTCAATCCGAAGCCGAAAACCCCGCCTCCCTGGACCTTAAATGCTACACCCTGCGCCCTAACCCGAAACCTTACTCCCTCAACCGTAAGCGCTGAAGCCTCCAACTGAGGAAGGCAATCCGGGGCTGTTGCTCTCAAAGCTCTACAAGATCAAAGCCTTGTGCCCCGAGTCTCTGAATCCGGACAGCCCCGTAGCGCCGGGGTGTTTAGGGAAGTACAGGAACATTCCTGTTCTGCGCGTTGGGCTTCAGGGCTAAAGCAACCGAGCCCCGAGCCCTAAACACTCGACCACTGGAGACTTAAAACCCAAAGCTTTCCCAGCGTCAGAGAGAGGGCTTTGGGAGCTAAGGGGGCTTAACGATTCTTTTCACAGGTTCGACAAGCAGGGTTCAGGGGTTTAGGGTGGTTTAGAGTAGCTCAAGGGCTCGTCCTGCACAGGGTTCTAGAAGGAGGATTCAAGGGTTTGGGAGTTGGGCGTTCATAGCCTTCGCTTTGGAACGCATGAAGTCCCCACAATCTAAGTCACAGCCCCAGTCGGGTTCTGAGTGCCCCCACCAAAAGCCCAAGACCAATTTACTAACGATGTAAATCTAAATATGCAGTTAAATTTAACTACTAAATACAGGCAAATAAATAAATAGGTGTATATTGTTATATTTATGTATGTATGTGTCTTCATGTGTATATTTTTATACGTATATATACACGCACAGACAGAAAAGGACAAGGATATTTGTGGTATTGGCTCTCTGACAGTGTGTCTCGGGTGTCTAGAGTGCAGGGCGTATAGAAGGCTCAGGGTTTTGCATTTCGAGCCTCATGAGAGGACGACACGATTCTGGCCAAGTTGGGCCGTGGCTCAAGCCGAGGGGGCATCGGCGCAGGTGGGGAGGGGTCGGGAGGCTTGGGAGGTTTCTGGGGTGTAAAGCTGGGTCTATCATGCGTCAAGAAGGCACGTGAGAACCCCTCTCCTCTCCACCGTCAAACCCTTAAAACAAGCCCATAAGGGCTTCAGGCTTTAGGGTCCATTCTCGGGATTCGGCAGTGTATAGGTTACAGCAACTAGCTGGCGTGCTTGAACCTAAAGCCTCAACTTTCCGAGTATTACCGGGTTACCTTCAACGGTACCTGTAGACCTGCCAAAGCGTTCCGCATTCGCTGCTCCTTCTACTTCCTGCAAAAGGGGCCACAGGTACCGAAGTCCAGCAGGCCCTAGCAGGCCCTAGCATCCCAGGGTCACCCCAAAGGACCAAAAGACGCGGCATGAGTACTCAAGATAAATCGACAGCTCGAAACTTTGCTGTAGGGCCCAGGGTTTAGGAGTTGTCAGTCGGAGATCCTTGGGTTTGGTTTGTGGTGCTGGGACACTGTAGTTAATAAAGACTTAGGGTTTCGCTTGGAGGGTGCCTTGTCGGGCTTCTGCAGTGACCTTGTCGCCTGCAAGCCATAGCTTGAAATTAAAAGCTTTGCTAACTTAAGCGCCACCACCACCACCACCAGCAGCAGCAACAGCAACAGCAGCAGCAGCAGCAGCAGCAAGAAGAAAAAGAACCTGATCAATAGCAGGAACAGGAGCAACGACGACGACGACCACGACGACGACGACCATGACCACCGCAACAACAACAACCACAACAACAACAACAACAGCAACAACAACAACAACAACCACAACCAAAACCACAACCACAACCACAACCACGACAGCAACAACACAACCACAGCAGCAGCAGCCACAGTATCACCAGCAACGACAGCAAACACAACAACCACAACAATGACCACAGCGACAGCGACCGACCGACCGACCAACCAACAACCGACCAACCCACCAGCCCACCAAACCCGATGATGGGAACCTCGCAACAGTCCCTCGAGGAGGGAACTCAAAGATGGCCTTCCATGCACTTCTGCACCACAAAATGCTTGGGAAGGGCAGTTGAAGCGATGAGAGAGACTAATTCTACACGCCGAAGCCTCGGCGGATTAAGCTGTGTTGGGTTGTTTGGGAAACCCAGACCCTAAGAATTCCAGTCCTGCACCCAGCCCTGTTTCTGTCCGAGGCGGAAGCATCGGAGATCCTGGCATGCTAACCTTCCTCAACGACACCAAAATGAATCTTGATGCACAACCCCGAAGCCCCCAGCCCTATAGAACGCTGGTAGAAACCCCTACCGGGTCCCTTGATGAGGCTCAGACAGCGTTGATCGATCCTTGGGTGAGGGCTGTGGCGCCTTGAGTTATAGGGCGATCAGCAGGGTTTAGAGTTTGGGGTGTCGGGCTTAAGGCAACCCTGCTCAGACAACGCTATAGCATCGAACACAGTACCGCGAGCGAGTGCGGCAGCCCAAGATACTCAAGCCAGCTGCTGTTCACCGGGCCAGAAAAAGTCGCAAACCGACACAGTCAGACTCCAAAACCCTAGGCCTGCAACTCGTCTTGGATTCATCCAACAACCTCTAACCCAGACCCGGAAGCCTAGAGCTCCGCGCGCACGAAGCCGAAACTCGCAGCCCCAAACCCCAAACCGCAAATCCAGAAGCCTTGAAACCCTAGTACTGTAAGGGGTCGCAACTGTTTGAGGTAGTAGTCCCTACAGAGTTGTAAAACTCCTAAGCCTGCAACCCTAAAGTCTTGTGGAAGCTAGTTCAGAGACTTGTCGTTGGATCCATCCCAGCCTGTGCGAGGGTGCGTGTCGAAACTCTTTGTGGAACCCTCAACCAAGGCCTCTGGGCTCGTCCTCCAACGGCCCCAATGCCGTGCTGACGAACTGCACCTCCGGAGTGTATGGGACGATGGAGAGGCGCACTCTGAGGGCTTACGGCAGGGCTGAAGGCGTTGAGGGCGTTTAGGGGCATTTGAGATTGAGGCTACTTTGGGTGTTGCGAGTTTGCCAGCAACAACCCCAGAACTCGAACCCTGAACTCAGAATCCAAGACTTAAAACCCTTCTTCTTCGCTTCGACTTGCTACCCGCTGATTGCGGGCTGCTTTCTGAGTTTCTGCTCCAATCTCACTTGAATTGCAAGTCCCTAGACCTCAACTCTCGACCAGGTCGGAAATTGGGCGCTAAGCCGCTAAGCCTAGGCCCCCCTTAAGCATGGAAGGTTCTTTCGGCCCTGAACCTTGAAAAGTCCTGTCCGCACGCCCTAAAGCCGTCAAAGCCTCTCCACGTGCCGCAGGCCCAGGATCAACCTATTCTATGAGAGCGAGGCTGGTTGAAGAGGGATCCGTTTGTAGAAGACTTCTTGATGGCGCACAGTTCCTGGGCGCCCTATGGGGCTCTTGTATTTTAGAGCTCGAGCTTCGATGGTGATACGGTCGTTCAGGACTTTCAGACCTTCAGGGCTTAAGGTCCCGTTCGAGCGGGTGGTTCTTTATTTCTCAAATGCCGTAGCCCCTTTCGAGTAGTTTGCTTCTTTCCACGCAAACACTCTAGTCCCTTTCGAGCTGTTTGTTCCTTTTTTTTTTAATCGCTGTGGCCCCTTTCCGAGCGGTATGCCTGTCATTTTCTTAAAAGACTCAGCAAGCGGTTAGAGCATTTGCGAAAAGAGCAAACTGGTCGAAAGGGACTAGGTCGCTTGAGAAGAAGAGGAGCCCGCCGCTCGAAAGGGATTAGGGCAGTCCAGAAAAAGCAGCAAACCGCTCGAAAGGCAGTAGAAAGAGACTGGAGCATTTTGAGAGAAAGGAGCAGCCGCTCGAAAAGGACTCGAGCGCCTGAGAACAAAAGGAGCAATCCACTCGAAAGGGATTAGATCGCTTGAGAAGAAGGAGCAGCGTTGGAAAACGGAGCAAACCGCTCGAAAGGGTTAGAGCATTCGATCAAAAGGAGCCAGCCGCTCGAAAGGGACGAGATCATTAGAGAAAAGGGAGCAAGCCGCTCCAACTAGTGCATGTGGGAAAAAGGTGCAAAACGCACCGGGGCAGTTGCAAGCAAAAGAAGCAAACCCCTCGAAAGCGGAGAGCTTTCACGAGAAAGGAGCAAACCGCTTCAAAGAGGCTACATCATTTGAGAAGCTTAAACGAGCCCACCCTAACCCCTTCAGCTGGGCGGGTGGGAGAAAAACCAAACCCCTCCCCGGTTCCAGACAGCCCAATGGCACCAATACTCCTGAGTTCATCCGTATACCTTCTTCAATCAGCACATGCCTTGTTAAATAAGTGTGGCTGGAATACGAAACCCTCTAAACAAGACCTATAAGGCCTTAGATCTCTTGATCAACGGGGCTACAAACCCTCTTATGCAAACAAGACCTATGAGGCTTCAAAGGGGCTATCTTAAACCCTAAACCCTAAACCCGTGGAAGTCTGGTGGCGGCGAGATGGATTTGGGCCTGAATTCGCGGATTCTCGGTGTGATTGAACCTGAGAAAGCTCCTTTTCTGCATCCTCCAGGGCAAGCTGGCGGATTGCGGGATATCGATGGCTATGCTGATAGACAACCTGGCACCCATCAAGCTGCTTTAGTACAGATGATGCTGCACTATGCGGACTTCTCGCCTCCGAATTCGAAGAAAGACTGACCCCTTGGCGGAGAGGGGGGAACCTTGCATAACTCTGATTTGAACTGGGACCAGTCTTCGGTGGGTTGAGGATGCTAGTCCGTTGTCACAGCCTGGAAGTGCTGCCTTCAGAACCGTGAAATGAACAGCTGGATAGCGCGCAACCAGAGGGATGCGAATCTCCTCGAGTACTGAAGGGCTGCCTCTGAACACACGCCTTTATGTTTCACTTAGTTCCCTTCCTGTAATCCCTTATCGCCCCTGGAGAGCTTCACCGGGTTGTGATCGTTGTTCTTTGGGGTCCTGGTTGTTTGGAAGCTCCGGGGGATGTGCGACAGTAAAATCTGTTGCCAACTGGCAGACCATTGTGATACCTGGTGGTTCATGGTTCTTAGATGGGGTTCTGGGCTTGCTTTCTGCCTATGGCCTGTCTTTCCTGTGTCACGCCGACCTCGCACCATGAACCTCGCCTGGCTTGTCCGAGTTGTGAGAGCGTAAACCCGTAAACTAAGATCAAAGGGGCTATTTTAAACCCCAAACCCTAAACCGCTAAACTAAGATCAAAGGAGCTATCTTTTGGGGAGTGTGACTGGAATACAAAACCTCTAAACAGGACCTAGAAGATCAAAGGGGCTATTCTTTGGGGGCTCTCTCCTAAACCCTAAACCCATAAGGCCCTAGATCTTTCTTGGTCAAAGGGGCTCTTTTTGGGGGCTCTCCTTGGACAGGAGAAGAAACCCTAAACCCCTAAACCCTAAACCCAAAACCTATAAGATCAAAGGGGCTCTTCTTTGGGCTCTCTCCTAAACCCTAAACCCTAAGCCCATAAGGCCTTAAATCTCTCTTGATCAAAGGGGCTCTTCTTTGGGCTCTCCGGGCCAGGAGAAGGTGCAGGCGCTCCTCGTGGATTTCATGTCCCTGCGCACGGCGAACGAGGCCTCGCTCTTCAAGATGTACGTGGCGAAGCTCCAGGAGTTTTAGGATTTGGGGTTCAGGGTTTAGGGGTTTAGAGGTTTAGGGGTTTAGGGTGCAGGGTTTAGGGTTTAGAGTGGAGCCTAGGGCTCTAAGGCCTCCTATTACAAGCTAAAAAGAGGTGCCTTCGGAGCTTTTTTGTGTTGGCTCTTCAGGTGATCTGGTTGGTGTTCTGGTTGGGGTTCTGTCAGGGATCTAGAATCTTCGGGCAAAGGGAGCTGGGTATCGAGTTAAGGGTGAAAGGCTCAGGGGTTAAGGATTCTTATTGCGTGGAGATCATGTTTCGGGTCGCGTCGGGTTAGCGGCTGCAGGTTTAGGGCTTGGCGGAGCTTGGCGTCGATTATAGCAGCCTGAAGAGTTGCCAAAAATTATTCCTAGGGGCCTTATCATATTGGTGTTATGTGATACACCACAATCCAAGGTTCATCATCAAGGCTTCTAGATGAGGGTCCGAGGGCTTTTACGAAAAAGGGGACGACCGCGTGGGGTTCGTTCCCCAGAGTTGCAGCTCCAGGAGTTCACCCATGGGGGCAAGAACGCCTTCAAGCTCGATCCTGCCAAAGAGGAGCTGTTGGATCAGGAGCTCTAGTAGGGAGGTCGGAAGGTTTAGCAATAGTACTCCCTTGCAGTCCCTATCTCACTATATGTTGATTTACCCACCAGCCCTATTCTAATAGTAAGGCCTCTAGTGGAACAACCTTGCTTACCAATCTTAAGGCTTCAAGCGGAAATCCCAACCCCGCACACTGAACCCTAAACTCTAAGCCTCCAACCTTAACCCCCGAACCCTCGACGCCCTAAACCGCTGGAGCGCAACCCTTAGGCCCATGTCCTCGAATCCTTTTGGTGAGTACAGGGGCCTGAATAATTGCTGGTAGACTTTCGTAGGGCTCCTCATTGTGGCTCTGGTTTGATACACCACAAAAATATCATTGCCGTCCCTTTACATGGTTTCCTCAGAAAACGTGCCCACTCCCTTAGGAGCTGCAGACGGACTATGCCAACACGGTCAGCATGTTTACGAAAGTCGCATCTGCCCTCGGGGAAAGTGGGTCCATCGAAGACCTTGGGCTGCTTCAGCAATATGTGTAGTCCCTTTTTTTGGTCCCCCATATACTACGGCACCCTTTTAAAAAGGACCCTAAAAGGGACCCGAATTTCGAGAACTAATTACCCATGTAGGGCCCTGAAGCTTGGAACAGGGTTCCCTTGTCTGGGTTCTAGAAGAGGCTACCATATAGGGTTTAGGGTTTAGGGTGTATCGGGGTTTCCGGAAGACACGGGGCGGCCTTGACAATTCCAGGGGGGTGTTGGGGGTGGGGTGCGCTCTGCTTATTTGCGGAATTCCGAGAGATACGATTGCTGTTGCTAATCGTTGAAACCCGACAGTAGATCTAAGAAAAAGCCTTGAGCCTTCAAGCTTAAGCCCCTAAAGCCAAAATGCTTAAAGTGGGCTAAAGCGTAAAGCTACATTCCTAAACCCTGGACCCATCTTTAATCCTCAGCCCAAAACCCTAAACTCTAAGCTTTCAAGTCTCGCTACAACCTTGCAATGCAGGCAGAGTCCTAGCCAGGCGCGAGGCAGAAGAAACTCCAAGCCCTGGATTCAAGGACTCTATAGCTCGCAAAGCTTTAAACACTCAAGCGTAAGTCCTCCGAAAACCTGACCGCAGACCACACCTGAACCCATCACGCCTACATTCTAAAGCTCCTCATTCTGAGTCCTGAGTCCCGGATATATGTCATTGAAATGGTCGAGCCCTTGATCACAAAAGGCTCATAGAAGCCTCAACCCCGAGACCCAAAGTCCTGAACCTTCTAGACCCCGATAACCCTCACTAGCTTACCCAGCAATACCCTCTTGCCCTTTTGTATTTTTTGGGGGGTCTCCCTATAAAAAACCGAGTATTAGGAAAAGCGGTAGCTACTGGGGAACCCCTTAGAACCCTTCTAGATCCCTTTAAGGGAACCCTTATAGATCCATTTTTAGGGTTTAGGGTTTAGGCCAGGAGCCCTTATTAAAAAATGTCTACCCAAGGACTACGGGCTGAAGGTCAACTCCTACTGCCAGACCTGGCTGCGCAACGGTGCCGGCGGGGGAGGCCAGGCAAGCGGAAGCAACTCTGGGGTCTAATGACTCCAATATACCATGACGCATTCTGCAGGGTAATATTCCCATAATATAATATATCATCATAATATAATATGTTTCTATCAAATCGATTCTAATCGAACCTATTCTAATATAATATATATGATGATATAGGATAAGATAAGATAATAAAACATAACACATGATGGCATAATACAAACAGTCCTTTCAGGTTTAGGGTTGGTGGAGCCTGAAACACACCTACACCCTAAACTGGGCACCCCGGACCCTAATCCCTAGTCTCCAATATCCTGAGTCCTTAGACAACCCGTTGCTCGTAGAGCCCTGTGTAGAAGCATCTGGAAGTTTGAATCCTACTGAGGCGAAGTGGGGAACGCGCAGTTCAGTGTCATGAGCCCGCATTTTCAGACGCGCTTCTTCGTGACGTCTGCGAAGAAGCTGAATGCTGCCAAGGCCGCTATGGCGGTCGTAGGTCACAGGCTATATTGTAGGGTTTACGGCTGAATTCAAGGTCTCCGGTAAGAGGTTCTAGGGGCAGTGCCTATTTTAGCCCGCAAAAACTTACTTGTTTTGGGCTCCTCCTTTTCTGAACGGCAGGTGCTTTTGTGGGACCCCATGGTCTAAAGTCTAGTTGGAGAGTCTGGGGCTCCGGGGATCCGGGGTTTGGGGCCTAAAGGGCAAAGGTGTGAGGTACAGGGTTTAGAGTTGGGTTTGGGGTCCCTAAACTTTAAACACTAAAGCCTCGTGGAGCCTTGCCTGCCTTAGGCGAGAGTGTGAGTCGAAACCCTGAAGCCTTCAAGCCCCTAGAAGTGCGCCTAAAACCCTAAAGCCTAAGCCCTAAACCCTCAACCCCTAAACCCCGAAACCCTATTGCCAGATGTGAGTGCTGAAACCCTATTGCGTCGAGGTGACCACTAAAGAGAAGAAGTCTTATCTCAAGATTCTGCAGCACTTCGACCAGGCGCCAGCGGGAACAGAGAGCCCCAGACCGTTTAGTTGGGGAAGATGCCTGCAATTTTTTTGGATCCTTTTGAGAAAACCCAAGCCATCAAACCTGCATCTCAAATTATAAAGACCAAACCTTGCACCGCATCTTCCGAACACACAGAGACCCCGAATGGCAAGACAGACAGTCTATGGACCGCTGAAGCCCCTAAGTATCTATCGCTTTGACCCACCTATACGGCTGTACGCTATACGGAGCCAAGACCCTTTACCCTTCCAACCACGATCCCGGGTTTAGCACGTGCAACTGTACTCTTGGAATACCCTTTTGCAATTACCCCGGTTTAGGGCATTAGGGCTTTAGGGTTTAGGGCCGCTTGTCTTGAAGGTCATGGAAGCAGCGGGCTACAGCGGGGCAGAAGGCCCGGCTTTTGTGAACCTGGACGGTCTGGTGTGCGCCCTCATCCCGGGATCTGCGCAGTGTCCTTAGAGTGTTTCGTTTTCGGCTGTTTAGGCCTGAGGGCCGTTTTCAGAGTTTTCAAGCCCAACATAGCAGCCAAGAGCAGTGATGAAAGAAATGCTGCGCGCCGGTGTTTACAGGGTTCTGGTGTTGAGTCTGGGGTCTTGGTTGATTGGGTTTTGGGTCAACCTGCAGCTCAAAAGAGAAGAATAGCCTCTTATAACGGCTGGGCCATTATTTTACGAACTTCTGGGGATTTAGGAAATAGTTTTTGGGGGTCTGGGATGTTGGGCTTCATGGATCGTGCAGAGGCAGAGTTCAGGGCTAAAGGTTTAGCCCTGAGAAGACCTGGCGATCGCGAGGGCGAAACACAATCTCCTCGCAGCTGTGGGTAACAGGTTTGGAGTGTGCGGTGTTTGAGTTCATGGCCCGGGTTGCTTAGGGAAGCTTTACAGAGTTTGGAGGCTCAGCGATTGAGGCGTAGCGTCAGCTTTCAGGGTTGGCGGATTCGGGTTTGGGGGCAGTGTTCAGGATTTAAGGCTGAAGGCTTGAAGGGCTCAGGCTATGAGATTCGAGTGGTCTGAGAGCTTTGGGTTGAGAGTTTGCGTTGTTCGAAACTTCAGTGGTTGAGGGACTGGGTGTGAGCGTGGGGTTCTTGAGAGTTCAGTGCTTAAGGTTTGAAGGGGTGTCTCGAAAATATGTACTTGGTATGATGATGTTTGGAGTGTTGTCGGTTGTGTTGGGGTATATATACATATACATATACATATATATATATATAGAAGTATAGAGCCGACCCGATGGAACCTTCAAGGAGTCCGCAGAGCGCCCGCTGCCCCTGAATGAAGGGCTTCAGGGGTTTAGAGTTTAGGGTATAGGTACCCTTAGTCTCCTGATATTCAGACCCCCTCTTCGTTTACGGTATAGTCGCTATTTAAGGGCTCATAATGCTCAACCCGTTAAGGGGTCATAATATCCAACCCCTTATAGCTTAAAGATGTTTCAAGGTATGTCCCTTGATTAAAGGGTGGTGGGCTTGGCGGGTATCCCATGGCCGACGAGCTCCCAACGCAGCTTGCAACGGTCCGGCTCGGATCAGCTCGAGGCAAGCGTGTTGGGAAGTTGTTTGACTGTTCTTCTTTGCCTTTTTGTCAGGGTTTTTGGTTGAGGGAGTCGAGGGCTTCGGGAGTTTCAGGTCCTAGGAATTTACGGTTCAGGGATTTTGAGATGCGAGAACTTTGACTGTGTCAGTACTGGCTGTTAACTTGTTCTTGTCATATGACCTCCTGCTTGATGTGATGCGTAAATATGTGCAGGTGCAGTTGCGGCATGCCACGACGTGGAGCGCGTTGCTCAGCAGGGAAGGCTTTCGCATCCCCTTATGCAGTTCGGATGCTCATCCAAAGCGAAGATATGATAGTGTCGAAAGAACCAAGTCATCAGTGGGGATTGTAGCCGCTTGAATAACTGTGTGGCGCTGGTTTGGTCCTGACGCATTTCTGGGAGTTTTCCGGAGGCAAGAGAAAGACACAGGAGGAGGGATGAAGAAGCTAGGAATGCAGAAGCAGAAACCATGAGAAAGCGAGAGGCTGGCAGGGAGCACCAGAAGAGGGGAAGAACCCATCCAACAGGCACGGACAGCTGAGCCTCAAGGGCTGAACCCCATGGTTGCCTGTCGCTGCTAGATCCTCTGGATGCAAAGAAAGAGAGAGAGAGAGAGAGAGAGAGAGAGAGAGAGAGAGAAGGAAGCATCTTCACATGAAACCGATCGACAACATAACAACAGCTGTAGAACAGGGCACAGATAAAGAACCAGGAAGGTCAATTCGACAGATAGACTATGTTCCCAGCCCTGCCCCTGAAAACCCTTTACCGAAACTCCAAGCGTCTCGAGCCCTGACACTTAAACTCCAAACCTGCCATCCAAACCGGGAGAGAGCCAGACCTCAACCCCATCACGGGTTTGGGGTTTAGGATTTAGGACTATAAAACCCAACCCTGCACCTAAGCTTAAACGCTCTTAAGCCTCAGAGCTGATAACTCCCAGCCCTAAGACGGAAGGCCCACACGCTTCTTCATCCAGACGACCTCCAGCCTCCGAAAATAGACCTTGATTTGCTTCTGATGTTATCCTTTACTGGACCCCGAATCGTCTGAAACTCCCAGGAAGAGTTCGAGATGTCTGGCTCTGGGCTTCGGAATTGACAGCATGGAACTCGTAATCTCGAGCCTTTTTCGCTAAAGCCTTGAACCAAGTCCGGACAAACGGGAAGCCGTAAGGGGGACCCTTGAAACAAGACCGCTGAATACTTAAAATGATATAATACATACCCACCAGCAAAGCCAAAACCGTTCTTACCAAGCCCCAAAACTCTAAACATAAAAGCCTGAAGCAGGATTCCCTTCGCAGCAGCGTTTGGTTCACAAGCAGAGACTTCCTACACCTGCTCAGAGCTAGCATGGACCATGCAGCCTAAACCACATGGACTCGGTTTAATAAGGAAGCATGGTGTGCTAGATAGACGTGTAAGGGATGCTGGCTTTACGGCGCAACCTTTAATTTCAAACGTTCCCGGGTTTCTTGTTTTGCAGTACTACCCTGGGACGTTGTATAACCTTGTATTTATTGGGGAAGTTGGCTGGGGCTGCATAGCCTAGATGACCACAGATGCGACTGTACAGCTACACAGATACATTCTGATAAGGCCTGTTGTTTTGTTGTTGGAGGACGCTGGTAGGTTTTGGAATCCTCGGGCTAATCCGACCGAACTTGGTTGGTATGATTTATGACTGTGTGCGCCTTGTCCTTTCTGTGCAGACGGCTACATGAGCGCACAAGCGGGTCAGCAGAGTGCTTTCCTACAGAGCCCTAAACTTTGACCCAAAATTCGAGACTTCAAGCTCTACTTTCTAAACCCCCCGACCCTATGACCTCAGACCCTTAGGGTTTAGGGTTAGGGGTTTAGGGTTTAGGGTTAACTCTAAACACGACAGCCTAGACTCAGGAGTGAAGGTTTAGTCGGATGCAGGGACGACGAAAGTCATGGCCGCACCCAGCCGGGAGGGGAAAAAGCGGCGTCAGCGTTGGACACCCCACTGGGCCTGGGCCGTCGCCGCTCCGAGTCTTCTGCTGCTGCCTCTTGGGCTTTGATGCTTAGGGTTACCCCTAAAGGCTCAAGACCCATCAAGCAAGGAATCTACGTTGGATCAGAAGGTTACTGTTTATTACGGTAGATTCCGTAGTATCGAGATCTACAACTCTACCGGATCTAGGTTTAGCCAGGTTTCTAAGCGGGGTTATGTGGGATCTATAAGCGTTCTGCAAGGGTTAGAGGCTCGGTAGCCCAGGGTTCATTGAGGGCCTGTAACCACTCCAGAGGACTGTCCCTTTTATGTAAACCACGACAGAGTTTGGTGCCTGGATGTCGGGCTCCTAAACTCTAATCCTCAAGCCTTTCAGCACGAAATCTCAAGCTCCAAAGCCCTTCAAGAGAGCCTGAAACCCTAAAAGAAATCTTAAAGCTCCAAACAATCCCACCATCGTTTCAAGACACCCGGTTCCCTAAACAGAGGCAAAAGAACGAACCCTCCCAGGACCGCTCAGGCAGCTTTAGCCCAGCCCCAAACACAGGCCCGTGATTCGTGATTGGGTTGGGGGGGTGGGGGTTCAGAGTTGAGTGTTTCGGTGTTTTTGAGAGCTGGGCTTCTTGAGGGTTTGGGGCTTCGGCGGTTAGGGTGTAGGGTAAGGCCGCCAGCAACAGGGCATTGCTCGAGCCATGCCTCAGATTTCGTTGAGTCCTCCTTAGCTGTTGACCGCCCTGGCCCCTCAAGAGTTAACGTTTGAGCCAGGCAGGCTTGCGCATCCTACGGCCAGAAGCGATTCCTAAATGCAAAGACGAGCTCAACCATGAAACCGGAGCCCTCACTCATCACCCAACCCGACGCCCCAACAGAAGTACCCACTCGAATCCTCAAGCGCCTGAATACAAATGTTTAAAGTTCTTGTTTAAAGTTCTTCATGCCATCCCCATGACCTGGGGTGTGGCAA